CAATTAAAAAAAAAATAACTCAACTTTAAAAACATATCGCAGCACGTGCTATCATTAAAGCTTACAAACCTTATTAAAACCGTGAGCCACTAGACAAGATGTTTTTTTCTGGAAACTTCCCCACGAACGTATAGATCCAGTGTTTCTTCCAGACTTTTTTCTCCGGGGGGGGGCACTTGAAATCTTCGGGGGGGCGGTAAACTTTCTTCGGGGGGGGCGGACACTGTTAAAAGTATATATTTTCTATATAAATTATATAAATTTCATTTCGTTCGGGGGGGCGGTAAAAAATTTTCGGGGGGGCGAAGCCCCCCCCCCCCCCGAAGAGATGCCTGGAAGAAACTCTGTATAGATCTATATCTAACTCTCTTAACTAGCGGCACACTACTCGTGACGACACAACAGACAGGCTAGTGGTTCTTTCATCAGAAACCAATCATTGGGTCGGCCAAACAAAAAGATAATGGCGTCCATGGACTTGGTTTTGCTTTTTTTTTAATATTTGGGAACCCTATTCCTTGATAAACTAAACAGGAATGTATTGGTAGGGTAAAATAAATGTGTAAGTAAAGTTCCCGTTTCGAACTTTTCGGTTTAAAGAAAGTGAAGTACAATTCATCTGTTTCTATTAGCTCGACATATGAAGGGATAGGGTTGTCAGTACTATGCCCACCCGTCTTTATTTTCCCTAACTTGAGTTCGGTATCCTTTCAGCACTGGGTGGCAGTGCCGCCAGACCCCGCAATGCGGGGGCCCCATTTAGGGGCCAGAGCCGACCATAATAAATTTTTTATAGTTAAAAAAAAGTTCTAGCATTTTTGACTTGACGGCAAAAGCTTTTGTAAATCACAAACAAATCTACTACAGCTGTGATGTTATACAGTAGCTAACATATGCTGTTGCGTAAACAAATATATATGCCTGGGGGTCGTCCATAAATGACGTCACACTCGTAGGGGGGAGGGGGGGGTCCGTAATTTTGTGACGGTGTGTGATGAGGGGGAGGGGGGGGGGGTCAGATGGTGCGACGTCACATTTTTGAATTATAAAAAAGCAATGTTAGAAAACGAATTTTAGACTTTATTTTGCGTTTTAGAAAACTGTTTTAATAAATTGTAATAGAAATCGATTAAAATACTCTAATTTGACAGAGTTCAGACAAGATTTTGGGGAAAAAAAAGATATATGTGAGGGGGCCCAGAATCTTTTTTTATATGGTGGCCCTTTTTTCTAGTTCCGCTACTGCTGGGTGGTCTCAGAAACGTTTAACTGACTTGAATTCGAACTCGAGACTCTTTGGTTTAGTAGTCTAGCGCCCTACCGCTAGACCTTGCCGCCCTGTAAAGGAATAGGGTTGCATTTGACTTTATAAAGAACATGTTTTGTTGATTTAGTCAAAATAGGGGAGAAGCTATAGCTTTTGTAGCTCTCTAAAATTCTTTTTCGTGTACACGATCTCATCTTCTCCTGATCATCTCCTCGATATATAAATCAATAGTGTGGTCAGCACTATGTCCAGCTGCCTTAGTTTTCCTTGACTAACATTAAGTACCCCCCCCCCCCCCGAACTTAATTAATATAGAAAATATATGCTTTCAACAGAGTCCGAACCCGCACCCCCCCCCCAAATTTTAAGTCCAACCCCCCCACCTCCGAAAAATTTCAAGTGCCCCCCCCCCCCCCCCCCCGAGAAAAAGTCTGGAAGAAACACTGGTTAAGTACAAATCAGGTGAAGTTATTTGAGTCCTCCTGGCTCGAGTCAGTAATACGAACTCGAGACTTACAGCATATAGTCGTGTGTCCTACCATTCGACCACGCAGCCTCCTTATAAGTTAATTACATGGTTAAATATTCACGTTAAAAATGGGGCTGTACAGTAGCTCGCTAAACTATATCAACTGGTCATTCAACATATTATAAAATGTATTTTTAAAACAGTTCTTTACTTTCTTTAAGCAAGATGTAGTTTACAAAATGTGGTGGTAGATGTTAAGTAGCCTAGTTCTCAACGTTTTCTATGATAGTCTAACCTACCTGCTTAACATGCGTCTCAATTCCAATCTGCACATACAATTACAAATTTCTAGAAAATATTTTTAGAGTAAGACCTTTACAATCTGGAAAATCCGAAAATATAATATTTAACTATAACATTTTTTTTATAAACAAAGCATTCATTGTGAACTACAAGCTCTGTGATTCAAGCTAGTCACGGGATAGAATCGCATTACAACTATACAGACGTCTCTTTGTGTAGCCCTGATATTGTTTGTTTTATATCAAGTGGTTCTTTGTTTCACAATATGCTCCACCCAGGTATTGGAGGCCTGTAAATAAACATACAAGGTCCTTAAACCTACCCACTGTATTGGGGGGGGGGGGGCTAAATAAATATACAAGATCCTTAAACTTGATACGGTATTGGATGACTAAAAATCCATACAAGGTCCTTAAAGCTACCCATTGTATTGGAGGCCTGTAAATATACAATGTCCTTAAACCCACCCACTGTATTGGGGGGGGGGGGGCTAAATAAATATACGAGATCCTTAAACTTGCTAGGTATTGGAGGACTAAATAAACATAAAGGGTCCTTAAACCTACCCAATGTATTGGATGACTAAATAAACATACAAGGTCCTTAAACCTACCCAACGTATTGGAGGACTAAATAAACATACAAGGTCCTTAAACCTACCCACTGTATTGGGGGGCTAAATAAACATACAAGATCCTTAAACTTGCTACGGTATTGGAGGACTAAATAAACATACAAGGTCCTTAAACCTACCTAATGTATTGGAGGCCTGTAAATATACAATTAGCAACGCCTATGAAGAAAATACAAAATACCTGTAAATTTGGGTATAGCTTAAAGTATAACCATCGCTAACACTGCTGAGGATAGGAAGGCGTGGCCAATAGGTTGCGCGTACGACTACTAAGCGAAGGTCTCGAGATCCCGGGCTTATTCCGTTGGCCTTTCTTGAATCCACCCATATCTGATGAGTAAATTGGGGAAAGTTTTGGCGGCTGGGTATAGCGTTAACCCGGGTCTACGACAAATTCCCGAAAGACACTTGCCCGAATGCCGTTTGCCCGAAGGCCGATTTCCCGAATGGACACTTGCCCGAATAGGACTGTTACGTTCTGCGTTCGTTTCAAATCAACAACAACGCTTCGTGTCTAACTTCACCACTTTTATTCGTCTCAATGCACTCAAGCGTACCAGAACAGCCTTCGTCCTAACCGCTACTAACCCGCTGACCGACTCCACACAATCGTTCACTCGCCCTTTTATACCCGCATTCGACCTTAGGATTACAATACATAAACATACAAGGGTAACTACACAGTAAGGTGAACTCCACTCACACACGCACTCTCCCCTGTTCTAGACTATTCTAACCTATTCTAATCTAACCTACAACTGACCCGTAACAAGGACAAATGCCCGAATGGACAAATGCCCGAATGCCACTTGCCCGAAGGCCGTTTGCCCGAAAAATGTTATCAATAAAATATTACCAAATAGTCATTCGTGATCAATTTAAATTTGAAATTTTGATAAACAATACATATATTAAAAAAATAAAGGGAAAAATTTAATATGATATACTAACACGAAGGTATTATTAATTAATTTGTATTTAAATAGAGATCAAACATAAAAGACTAACATTAGTTTTTAATTCGCCGCCTAGGCCCCGCCTCATTCTATTGTTGAATGATCACCACCCAAGTTAAGCATAACAAGATAAACCAAACAAACGCGCCTCAGTTCAATGTTGCGAGACGCCGCGCCGCCTACACCGTGTCATAAACGCTATAAACCACCGCAACACATCGGCTACACAAGGTGGTCAAAACTTACACATCAAAAGAATGTTAAGATACCGCCGCCAACATCACCTCACATTTATTGAAGAATAAAGAATTTTTTTACGGCAATTTCTCATATTAAAAAAATATAATAAAAGCTAAATTTTAAAAATATAAGCAAATTTGATTTTATACTTAAAACTGTGTTGATTATCAAAATTTCAAACTTGAATTGATTATGAATGTGTCCATTCGGGAATTCGGCCTTCGGGCAAACGGCATTCGGGCAAGTGTCTTTCGGGAAAACGTCCGGCTCCCCGTTAACCCATGTACCACCAGTTTCGAAATGGTAACTTTATTTTTTGTTTTTAAATTTACAATGCTGAAGCCGAATAAAATCAACTTTAATGTAGTTCAATGATTATTAAATAATTCGTTTAAACAAAAATAAGTAAGAATTTAAATTAAAAAAACGCATTCATATAAATTAAGTTCCACTGAATGTAATGTCCCTACCCCAATTTCTGAAAAGCCCTTGAAGGAGACAGGGGCTTGATTTTGGACGATCTTGTAGGGATTCTATAGAATGGGTCATCTTGACCCTAAACCTTAATGTACATGATTGTCGGCGGGGTCGTTGCATTTCGTTACGTCGTGTGATGCGTTTCATGACAGATTTCAGGTCAAAGGATCTAAGACAAAATATCTGAGACTAAATTTCTCATGGAGAAATAATCTCAGGACAAAATATCTCAAGGACAAATTATCTTATGATAAATTATCTCTCGGACACAAGATGTATGTCTTTTTTAATAAACCTGCTTATTATTACTTCATAGTGTGGTATGTCTGATTTAAGACTAAATAGCTGGACCAGAAAAAAGAAGAACAGAATACAAGTCACTGTTTCTTCTTTAAGAACATATTTTAGCTTGCATTTATTTCAAACAAAAATCAAAACCAATAATGTTTTAAAACATGACGCATTTGTGTTTTGAAATGATAATTCTTCTTTAAAAGACACACACACATATACACACGCACACACACACATTTAATGCTTATCTTTGCTAGCCAAGATAGATTTTAAAAGAAACACACAATCGTGTAGGTTAATTTCATATTAAAAACACACGTCTAGCAACATATTATAAAAACGAGACATGTTTTGTTTCAGTACTGCCAAAAGAAATAAGTTTAGCCCCTTGTCTATACACTGAACTATTCGCTTCACAAGTTGAATCAGCTGTAGATTTGAAACGTCTGCTAGCATAAACCGGAAGTAATAATGTTCGCTGCTCTCAACGCCAAGAAAACGGTGGGATATACTTGATGTTGTCCGTCTAATGATTTTCTTAGCAAATTTTGGTTCTAGTTTTTGGCAAGTTTTGTTGCATTTTTAGCAAAAACTGGTTCAATTTTTAGCAAGATTTGGTTCAAATTTAGCCAAATTTTTTGTATTGTAGTCGCTTTGAAGACGTTTATTTGCAGCTTTATACCATACGCTTTTAGTATATTAAAATCATTTTGTAATTCACGTTTTTCATATCATGCAGTTGAATGATTGTTCTGTTTATCAAACCGTTACAGTTATCAGAAAGTGCGCCGAGATTTATTTGAGTGTAGTGCTTCAAACATACACGTAAGCTAGTCACAGATGATTCACGATTTTGCATGATTTGTGTGTTAGATTAAAACATTTAAAATAAAAACGACGAACCCTAATCCCTTTGTTTTAATATATTTAAACCTAGTTTCACTCCACAAAGAGTAAGTCAAAACGAATGTGTCCGTCACAATAATAAGGCTTTTCATGCCCAACCAATAATTATGTTGTAAACTGTTTTCTGTTTTAGCATTATCCTGAAGTAGGAGCCTACATTTAAAACAAGACTTTCTCTATACTTCGTATATACGAGAAAGTAAAAACATACAAGACTATAGAAATTCGCTGGTATAGACACACACACACACACACATATATATATATATATATATATATATATATATATATATATATATATATATATATATATATATATATATATATATATGTATGTTACATATAAATATAAAAATTATTATATATATACATTAATATACATATTTATATACTTATATATACATATAAGGTTGTAACTATAACATTTAACGTGAAACAATTAATGTAAGAGGTCCACGCGACAACGCCAGAGATCTAAATACATGCAGACACACATTTACCTTGCAGAACTATGTAAATTATAAGTGGATACCTAATTTAGTGCTACACCGGCAACTTGTGTGTTATCTATTTTTAAAGCTGCCTTGACCCTTGGCTAGTCAACCCTAACACACTACCTTGTTGTGTGTTGCGTCGCTCAGTGATGTGCTGAGTTCGACTCATGCCGTGTGTTGTGTTGATAACACGCAGATAATTGTTATCAGAAGTTACGTTGTAATGGGACCACAACACACCGATGTTCACAGTTTAAAACGGGAATTGTTATTTAACGAAAGGCAGTAGAGGGATTTTTTTTGTTTTAAGCATGAAGGTTGTACACTAAAAACTCGTCGTTGTGTGTGTGTGTGTTTTATTTACTGTGTTTTGAGTAAGATTAATTGACACGGTCTACGGTCGATATAAGATTTCTAAGATGGTCCAAAGTTGACCTGATATGGTCAACTTTTGACCTATGGTCCACGGTCAACCTGATATCGACCACGGTCGACCTGATATTGACCACGGTTGACCTGATATTGACCACGGTCGACCTGATAAGGTCCAAGGTTGACCTGATATGGTCCACCATCGACTTAATATGGTCCACTGTTGACCTAATGTGGTCGACCTTTGACCTAATATGATCCTCAGTTGACGTAAATGTTCCATGGTTGACCTAACACAGACCACCATTGACCTAATGTGGTCGACGTTTGACCTAATACGATCTACAGTTGACTTAATATGTTCCATGTTTGAGCTGCCGTGGTCCATGTTTCCCCTGACACGGTTCACTTACCACGCCCTACTTGTACACCACAGAGAGACGCCGAGCTTGAGAGCCAGGCACTGGACTGGATCGAGGCCAACCTGGGCGAACCCATCGACAGGAAAAAACCATACGATGACCTGCTTAAAGACGGCATCATCCTATGCAAGTAAGTTCACCACATATATGTATGTGCTATAACTGTGTTCGATCACACCATAATAATGGAAACTTCTTCAATAGGGGTGTTAGATTACTGGTAGTTAATTAACTAAGTACACATATGACGTGTTAATATCAAAGCTTACTCTATCCCTAATCCAAGTCCTACTATAACTCAGAAACTAATATCTAACCATAACACATACACCAGAGATTACGAAACTATACATTCTAATAACCTAACTCACCTATTTCTGGAAGAATCTATTGTCGGGCATCGGTAATACCAATACGCCATGATGATATAGTTTTTAATAAATGTTTAATTAGGAATCAGCATATTTTTTATCTTAACTGGGGGGATGTTCAATAAACATACCCTTATATATTTAATGTCGATATTATTTTCTGTTATGTTTTTGGATTAAAGTTAAACTTGTATTAAGTTTAATTGCTTGGTTTACCTTAAGATTTTCTATTCACTGTTGTGTTTAATATTTTCGCTTAATGTTTTGTTATGCTTAGGAATAGTTTGGTGAAAATGTTCATAATCTACTTTTACATCACCATTATGATTTTTTAAAAATTACATTAGATTCTATTAAATCAGAATGTTTAACATGGTTATATTCGATTCCGTTACAACAGGATGATGAACAAACTTATGCCAGGATGCATCAAGAAAATCGATACCAAAGGAGGCGGATTCGCCCTCATGCAGAATATCGAACGATTCCAGGTAATTGTATAGGCCTACATCCTGTCTTTCTGCAAGGCATTGTTAATTATTTGGCTTCGTTTCCAAACTTTAAGATTTTTCCTCGTTTCGCTGTTTCCAGTTCTACAGCAATTGATTGACAAAAATTGCTGTTGGACGCACTTATTAGAATCATCAGCTTTTTGTCTATCTTGTCATTTCATTTGAGCAAAACATATATATATATATATATATATATATATATATATATATATATATATATATATATATATATATATATATATATATATGTAACGAGACTATTTGCCTGTAGTGCCAAATGTTAACGAGTTCTGCTCGACAACGCCAAATGTTACCGAGTCTAACCACTCATTCTACACAACATCGACCACAGTATAGATACTCGAAGATGCAGGTTCGCTATTGATCCTTTTATTACATGAATCAAAGAAATGCTTCACAATAATATAATGAATCAAAAGGAATGCTTCACAATAATAGTCTGAATCAACTGACCCCAACAGTCCTCACTAGTCTTCACATAACTGAATGCACATGTCTATCGTCCTTCTTAACACAATACGGCTAACCCGTTCAATAACCAACTTGATACTGCCTCACTGACTGACTGATCGAGAGAGAGAGCCGCCCCCGAGCTCAGCCGTCGCCTTCCTATATATCCCCTTCGTATTCGTAATCGTATTCGGTTCTATCATAATCGTAATCGTAATCGATTCTAATCGTTGCATCAGAATGTTAATTACGCCGCTTCTGTCGTACAGTCCGATTTAATAAGCCATCTGCATCCTGTCACATCAAAGTTGACAGACCGTATTGCGTTCTTATCGTATCGCTTCCCAAGATACTACGCCTTGGCTTTCTGATCGTTATCAGCCAACACCTGTGTTATTGCATCAGTCGTGTCAAAGTTGACAGCGCTGTACTGCGTTATGTCTCTGGTAACTTCCCCTAGTTACATCCACCCCTGCCTTTTTTTGTGTGTTATCAACCACAAACAACGCTTTGCAGGTGCAGTCCTTCAAAGTCAATCGCACCACCGTAAAAAAAAATGTATTGTTCCACTCACTGTCAATGTCGTCACATTCGTATAAGATTGACAGTTATCCCTATTTCACATATCAAATGTGTCTACATCATCTTCCTCAGACACAAAACAGTTCTAGAATTCACATCCACCTTTTTTCGTTTGGTGCCTTCACCAGTTCACTTTTATGACTTTTTGAACAGTCTGTTCTCATACCAGCGCGACCATGAAAGAATTGATGGTTGCTGACAAAAAATTTCGTATTCTTTCTGTTTCTCAAACTTCTCCGCGGACCACCTATCTGATGGTCTACTGTCTCTCTGCTTCTGGGAGGAACGGGATCCTCTTCGTTGCCGTTATCCTCCACTTGTGTATCGCTGTTGTTCTGTTGATGGTGACATGGTTCCGGGATGGGTATGTGAATTTCCGTTATAGTTTCCGGTTCCCTAATTGTCTTGGGTTTCCTTGTGTGTAACTGCTCTTCTTGACTATGACAATATTTCTTTAATTGAGCAATATTCGCCCACCGATCCGGTTTGGCGTGATCGATGGGTCTTATCTTAAAGGGGCCACCTGCTACTTTAGGCATCTCCACGACTTGCCATATCTCCTGTCCCCAGAGGTCGTGGATTTTGTTTCTGCCTAACGGGTGGCTACGCAGTAATACCCTGTCGTTCAGTTTGAGTGGCGGGTCCTTTGTCTGTACCGGCGGTTCCCTTCGCCGTGCTTCATGTTCTAGTCTTTCCTGTACTACCCTGTACATTTCTCTAATTCGTCTCATATGTTCATTCACATATTCCAGTGCAGTGTATGAGCCAGTCATACTCTCCTTTTTTCCTAGGAACAAGTCAAGAGGGAGTCGAGCCTCCCGTCCGAACAGCAACATGTGTGGCGAAAAGCCGGTTGTGGCATGGGGGGTGCAGTTGTATAGATATACCAACTCTGGGAGAAAATCAGGCCAACGTTTTTTCTGTTCAGGTTCTAGAGTACGCAGCAAATCATGCATGCTGCGGTTGAACCGCTCGCACTGTCCGTTTCCTTTCGGATTAAATGTGGTTGTTCTAGATTTGTTGATCCCGTAGTGGCTGCACAGTTGGTTAATTACTTCTGACTCAAAGGCCCTTCCTTGGTCAGAGTGTAATTGTCTTGGTATGCCATATTTGATGAACCAATGTTCTATTAAGACCTTTGCCACTGTTTTGGCAGTCTGATCTCGTGTGGGCACCGCCACAGTCCATTTGGTGAATACATCAGTCATTACCAACACATGTTCCGTCCCATCCGATGATTGCTCCAACGACGTAAAGTCCATAGCCACAATCTCTAGTGGTTTTGTCGCTAGTAGGTGTCCTGATGGCTGTCTCATTTTGACAACTGGCATTTTCGCATGCTGACACCTCACACAAGCCTCACAATGGCGTTTGACCTCCATTTCCATATTGGGCCAGTAACACCTCCGTCGTAATATTTTGTGCGTCCTGTCCTGACCCTGGTGTCCTGCCCTGTCATGTGCCAACTTTAGCACTTCTTCTCGTAATTGTCCAGGCACCACCACCTGGTGTATTGTCCCATCAATTTGGTCATGAATTCTCCGCATGAGAACACCATCCTTTATACTGAGACGGTCCCACTGACTCAGTATTTTCTTTGTTTCTCGACCAAATTGTTCTCTTTCCCTTCTTCCTGGGAATTTTTGTTCCTGGACGTGTTTCAACAGCGGCTGTAAGCCACTATCCGTTCTCTGGGCATCTCTTATCTCTTTGTGATTAAGGCAATTAAAATCACTAATGTCCATATGTCCGGGCTCTGTGGATATGTGCTCCACCCCAGTCTGCCCGTTTTGCATCACTTGCACCCCGTGAGGGATATCTGTTGACGCTCTGACCTCACATATTCCTGTCAGCGTTTCTTCCTCATCGCCCGGTCTCTCGTAAGGATTCCTTGATAAAGCGTCCGCATTGCCATTGGACCGCCCCGGGCGATATTTTATCTCTAGGTCAAAGAGTGCCAATTCTGCTGCCCATCGCTGTTCGATGGATCCCAACTTTGCTGTCTTTAGGTGACTCAAGGGGTTATTGTCAGTGTATACCACACATTTAGCACCTAATAGATAGTCCCTGAATTTTTCAGTCACAGCCCATTTTAATGTCAAAAGTTCTAGTTTCATGGCGCTGTAATTTGTCATGTTCTTCTCTGATTCCTTCAGAGCTCGACTGGCATACGCAATAACCCTGAAACCTTGCTTTTGTTGTTGTGATAGCACAGCTCCCAGACCTTTAGAGCTGGCGTCAATTTCTAGCCGAAATGGTTTGTCAAAGTCTGCGTATCCTAATATCGGCGCCTCTGTCAAAGCCTTTTTCAATAGCTTAAACGAGTTCAGGCATTCATCAGTCCATAATTCACCTATCAGTTGTGTTTTACCTTTCTTTTTCTCCTTACTGTGTTTCTTTGTCATTTTGTTTACCAAGTCATGCAATGGTGCGGCAATTTTTGCAAAACCAGGCACAAATTTTCTATAATAGGAAGCAAAGCCCAAGAATGATCTGACCTCTACCGTAGTTGTTGGCTGTTTCCATTCTTTAACAGCTGCAATTTTATCTGGGTCAGTGGCGATGCCATCCGACGAAATCACATAACCCAAAAAATGTACCGATTTCAGACCGAAGCAGCATTTGTCTGGGTTCAGCTTTACTCCTATCTCCCTAAGACGGAGAAACACTTGTTCTAATCTTTCTCGATGGTCCTCCCAAGTTTTTGAGTAAACCAGTATATCATCCAAGTACACCAACATTATTTGAAATAGAAAGTCACTCATAGCACTCTGCATTACTCGCTGGAATGTAGCAGGCGCATTAGTTAGACCAAACGGCATACGGGTCCACTCGTACAGTCCCAGTGGAGAAATAAATGCCGTCTTATGTTGATCGTTGGGGTGCATGGCCACTTGGTGGTAGCCGCTAGCCAAATCTAAGGTAGAAAAAAATCTTGCTCCCCCCAACGCATCAAGACATTCATCAATACGAGGCAAGGGGAATGCATCCCTTCTTGTGATATTGTTCAATTTCCGGTAATCACAACACAGTCTTATCTCCCCCGACTTCTTTTTTACCACTACTATCGGTGCCGCATACGGGCTAGTGCTGGTTGTAATAATTCCCTTTTTTAGTAGATCGTTCAGGTGTGCTTTCACCGCCGAGTAGTGACTTGGTGGTAATCTTCGATAAGGTTGCGCCACCGGCTTGTCTTGTAGTAAGGGTATCTGGTGTTTTATTACTTCCGTGTAACCCAAATCACCCTCGTACGAGGCAAATATATCCCTGTACTTATTCAGCAATTCATTTAGTTTTGGGTCCTCAGTTTCCGGGAATGTATATGATCGGCCATCCTCTTTCTTCACCTCGGCCGTCACATTGACCGACCTAATTGTTACTTCATTACTGCTGGTATTGCTCAGTTCGATGCACTGTGCCGACCTTAGTACCTCGACGTTCTGTGGTACTCCTACCAGAGTATTAGGCGGTATAAAAATTTCCTCATCCAAAACATTTGCCACTAATCCTTGAACTAGTCCCTTCTCCGCTGATGTGTATGTGCGCAGTAACACGACGCCTGCCCTCAGTGCGGCGCCACATGGTTCTATCATCACATCACCATTCACGCTTCTATCACCAATTTGTAATGTGATTGCCTTGACCGTGTTTGCCGGGACTGATATCCTTCCTCTGGTCTTGGCAAACCTGGCCAACTTGGATCCCCGACCTGGTGTGGTCGATCCGACAATATTTGTAAGAAATTCTGGCAACTGGCCAAGAATATTCATGCCCAACAGGCAAGGTATATTTGACACATTTGTCTCTAGGTTGTGTTTCGTAACGAACACCCCAACCTGCTTCAACCTATGTCCCGCCACCACGACATCCGCCAGAAAATAACCACAGTATGGAATGGTTAGTCCATTAGCTGCCGTCAGGCGCAT